AAATACTATAGCAAATTTGGGAAGTGGAAAGGGAAAAAGCAATAAAAGGAAGGCAATTTGCTCCAGCTTATGTTATTTTAAATTATAGTGGTAGCCAGGTGTAATGATGTCCCTGTAGTTCCAGCTACTCAGGAGGCTGAGGTGGGAGGATCACTTCAGCCCAGGAGGTGGAGGTTGCAGTGAGCCAAGATCATGCCACTGCACTCCAGCCTGGGCGACAGAGTGAGACTCCCTCTCAAAAATAAATCAGTCAATCAAAATTGCAATGTAAGATTCCTAAGGGAAATGGCTGATACCAGGGCTGGAGCAGGAAGAGTGCAAAGTAACCTAGAGCATCTTATGCCACAAAGTAAGAAAGTGCTCAAAAATGACAGTAACCTGCCAAGAGGACAAGGAAGCCAACTTGAAAGGGCTCTCACAGGCCAGAATGGGAATTATTTCAGTATTGAAATAAATAATTACAGGACAAGATTCGAACACATCAGATCATTTAAAAATAAACTATGTGTTCCAATCTATTTAAAAATAAACATATTTGGCCAAGTTCAGTGGCTCACATCTGTAATGCCAGTACTTTGAGAGCCGAGGCAGGAGAGCTCCTTGAGGCCAGGAGTTTGAGCCTGGCCTGGGCAACATAGCAAGATTCAGTCCCTAAAAAGTAGAAAAACCTAGTTGGGGGCATGATAGTGCATGCGTGTAGTCTCAGCTACGTGGGAGGTTGAGTCAGAAGGATCACTTGAGACCAGGATTTCAAAGTTGCAGTGAGCTATGATCACACCACTACATGCCAACCTGGGTGACAGAGCAAGACCCTGTCTCTATAAAAAATAAAAATAAGTACTAAAAATGAAAAATTTTTAAATTTGTTAAAGGAGAGGGAAAGAAAGAAAAATGATATTTTAAAAAAACATGCTAACCAATAAGTATAAAAGAAGTAATGGAATTTTTTAAATCACCACTTTAGCAGCATGTAGTAATAAGTGATCCAGGCAAGAAGCATCACTGGATAACAAAACCACTGAGGCCGGGCACAGGGGCTCATGCCTGTAATCCCAGCACTTTGGGAGGCTGAGGTGGGTGGAACTCTTGACCTCAGGAGTTCCACCCGCCGAGGTCAGGAGTTCGAGACCAGTCTGGTCAACATGGTGAAACCCTGTCTCTACTAAAAATACAAAAATTTAGCTGGGCATGGTGGTGGGCACCTATAATCCCAGCTGCTTGGGAGGCTGAGGCAGGAGAATTGCTTGACCCCAAGAGGCAGAGGTTACAGTGAGCCGAGATTGCACCACTGCACTGTAGCCTGGGTGACAGAGTAAGACTGCATCTAAAAAAAAAAAAAAAAAAAAAAAACCAAGTGAACGATTGCTGGGAAACAGGGTATTCATCTGATCTCTAGGTATCACCTCACAAATTACTCATTAATGACAAAGGGGAAAAAGTACTTTTACAAGGGAGGAATGTGACAGATACCTCCTTAAGGAAATGACCAAACTAACTTAGCATCAATTATGATAAGACAAACTGACAGCATGTGTCTACCGGTGAGCAGCACTGAGAAAGATATCACATCACCTCTGTAGTACTCCTGCCAAAAATGTAGACTCTGAATCTAATCATCAGGACGCAAATCAGACAAGTCCAGATTGAGGGATATTCTACAAAACAACTGACCTGTACCCTTCAAAAATATCAGTGTCATGAAAGAAAAATATGGCTGAAGAGACATAACAAATTCAGTGTCATGTATGATGAGTGATTGGATCCTGGATTGAAAAAAAAATATTTCGGCTGGGTACAGTGACTCACAAATCTAATTCCAGCACTTTGGGAGGCCAAGGCAGGCGGATCACAAGGTCAGGAGATGGAGACCATCCTGGCTAACATGGTAAAACCCTGTCTCTACTAAAAATACAAAAAAAAAAAAAAAAAAAATTAGCCAGGTGTGGTGGCATGGGCCTGTAGTCCCAGCTACTTGGAAGGCTGAGTCAGGAGAATCACTTGAACCTGGGAGGCGGAGGTTGTGGTGAGCCGAGAACACACCACTGCACTCCAGCCTGGGCGACAGAGCTAGACTCCATCTCAAAAAAAGGAAAAAAAAAAGAAAAAAATTATTTCAATGATGTTGAAAGAGACATTACTGGACAATTATGGAAATCTGAATATGGACATTTATTAGATAATTACGTCAGTGATTACATTTTCTAAGTGGGAGAAGTATATTGTGGTTATAGAGGAAAATGTCATTAATTCTTTTTTTTTTTCTGAGTCAGAGTCTCTCTGTCACCCCGGCTGAAGTGCAGTGGCGAGATCCCAGCTCACTACAATGTCCACCTCCGTGGTTCAAGCAATTCTCATGTCTCAGCCTCTCTATTAACTGAGATGCATCTGCCACCACGCAGATTTTTGTATTTTTAGTAGAGACTGGGTTTTGCCATGTTGGCCAGGCTGGTCTCAAACTCCTAGCCTCAAGCAATCCACCCGCCTCAGTCTTCCAAAGTGGTGGGATTACAGGTGTGAGCTACCACTGCAGCCAAATATACTTAATTCTTGGAGCATGGGTGATTACATATTTTGAGGAGAAATGGCTCTGTGTCTGCATCTGTTCCTCAAATGATTCAGCAAAAAAGAAAATCTGTATACATGTACAGTGAGAGAAAGCCAAATATGGCAAATTATTAACAGTTAATAAGTGAATCTAGGTAAATTCTTGCAACTTCTCTGTAAGTTTGATTTTCTTTTTTTTTTTCTTTTTTTTTTTTGAGACAGAGTCTCACTCCGTCGCCCAGGCTGGAGTGCAGTGGTATGATTGATCTTGGCTCACTGCAGCCTCCGCCTCCCGGTTCAAGCAATTCTCTGCCTCAGCCTCCTGAATAGCTGGGATTACAGGTGCCTGCCACCATGCCCAGCTAATTTTTGTATTTTTAGTAGAGACGGGATTTCACCATGTTGGTCAGGCTAGTCTTGAACTCCTGATTTTATGATCCACCTGCCTCAGTGGATCAAATCCCTGCCAAAGTGCTGGGATTACAGGAGTGAGCCACCATACCCAGCCAGTTTGAAATTTTTTAAAATCCTAAATTGGGGACACAGGGGTAATCTCTCTGTGGTCATCCCCATTTACACATTAATAACATTTGTGTGCCTTTTCCCTAAACAAACAAACCAAAAATGGCTGGATGTGGTGGCTTCTGTCTGTACTCTCAGCACTTTGGGAGGCTGAAGTGGGTAGATTGCTTGAGGCCAGGAGTTTGAGACCAGCCTGGCCAACATGGCGAAACCCGTCTCTACTAAATATACAAAAATTAGTCAGGTGTGGTGGCGGGAGGAGGATTGCTGGAGGCCAGGAGTTTGAGCTCACCGTGGAAAAAATAGGGACCCATCCTCTAAAAAAAATAAAAAAAAAAAAAAAAAAAAAAAAGTTGGGGGAAAATAAAACATAAAATTTACTACAGTAAGCCTGGTTCGGTGGCTCACGCCTATAATCCCAGCACTTTGGGAGGCCAAGGAAGGTGGATCATCTGAGGTCAGTAGTTCGAGACCAGCCTGGCTAACATGGTAAAACTCTGTCTCTACTAAAAACACAAAAATTAGCCAGGCCTGGTGGCATGTGCCTGCAATCTCAGCTACCCAGGAGGCTGAGGCAGGAGAATTATTGAAACCTAGGAGGCAGAGACCAAAGTGAGCCAAGATCACACCACTGCACTCCAGCCTGGGCAAGAGAGCAAGATTCCACGTCAAAAAAAAAAGAAGATATATATATATATATAAAATAACATACATGTATTACAGTAATTAGCAGAAAGAGTAAAACTCAAAATTGTTGAAAGTAGTTGTCTCTATGGATGTCTTAGTCCATTTGGGCTGCTATAACAAAATACTGTAAACGGAGTAGTTTATAAACAACAGAAATTTATTTCTTATAGTTTCAGAGGCTGAAAAGTTCTAGTTCAAGGCACTGGCAAAATGGTCTGGTGAAGGCCAACTCTCTGGCTCATAGATGGAGCCTTCTCACTGTGTCTTCACATGATGGAAGGGGCAAGGCAGCTGTCCCAGGCCTCTTTTATAAGGGCACTAATCTTTTAAAAAGGCTCTGGGACAGGCGTAGTGGCTCATGTCTGTAATCCCAGAGCTTTGGGAGGCTGAGGTGGGAGGATTGCTTGAGGCCAGAAATTTGAGACCAGTCTGGGCAGCATTATCGAGAGCCTTTCTAGCAAAAAATTAAAATTAGCTGGGCATAGTGGTGTGCACCATAGTCCTGGCTACTTGAGAGGCTGAGGCTGGAGGATTGCTTGAGCCCAGGAGTTTGAGATTTCATTGACTTGATTGTGCTACTGCACTCTGGCCTAGGAGGCAGAGTGAGACGCTGTCTCAAAAAGAAGAAAGAAAACAAGGGATGGGAAGAGGGGGTGTGCTCTGCTCTCATGACCTAATCAACACCCACCTCCTAACTCCTAATATCATCACTTTGGGGGTTAGGATTTCAACATATAAATTTGGAGGGTACACAAACATTGAGACCACAGAAGTGAGTATCACTGGGTTGGGGCAAAAAGGATACTTCTGATTTTCATCTTATACTTTTTGAACTTTTTTGGTTTTGCCATATTTCTATATTACCACTATGATTAAAGAAGACTAGGTTAATTTAAAAAACAAAATATCTATACCAGAAGCTGCTCTGATGATAGTAAGCTTATATTCATGGGGTTCTCTTCATTCCAGAAAAAAATTAATAAGCGTTGCATTTCATGCCCATTAGTGCTCATTAAGTTTTTAGACCTATTGGTGAGTGCTGAGGTCCTTAGAGCTCATGCAGTTTTCCTCAGCTTCATTTCTCCTCAACAACAGCACTTAGTAAAGGGTAATATATTCTTTTGCAAAATCTTCCTAAGAGGAAAATAATTGCCAAGAGCTTCAAATATCACTAATATGAAGACACATTAAGCTGTAAATATCCCTCAGCAAATGATAAAAATGACAAAATGAGTAAAATCATATCCTGATTTTTGTATCCAGCTGTGTCTCATTTATTTCACCAGGAAGCTCTATGTCTGCCAATCTACCTAGACCCTATTTTCAATCCACAAAATAGATAAGGAACCTAGAAAAAATTGTGTTTTGTTCTGTTAATTCACTTGAATCAATAGGGAAAATGACTTGCCCAAATCATGCCACTGATCTTTGGCAAATGCTTAACTGGAAATCAGGCCTCTTCTGATATATCCCAAGCTCACAGGTTCTGATGCCGTGGGCTCTGATTCTTCCATGCTGTGTGAGTATGCACAGGTCACTCAAATTCTCCTGGCCTCAGTGTTCTTACCTGTAAAATGAAGTTGTAGGATTAGAGTAACACAAATTTAGCCCTCGTTGTTCCTGATGGTAGCTATGTTTTTCAGTGGGAGTAATGTAGGTCTCACAAGGCTCGGCAACTTGGTAAGTTTCACCCGGCAAGGCAATCCTGAGCCTTGCACACATATTCACTTTACATTCTGACTCATCTGAATAGGCTCAGCTTAATGTAGCCAAAAAAAAAAAAAAACAAAAAAATCCACAGATGTGACAGCCTGAGGAATCCTGCTACAAGGAAACTCAGTTGAGAGGACACAGTTTAGCTAAAATTTGCTTAATCACAACAACAAAAACAATCTAGGAACCCTAACACTCCTTAAAAAACAAAAAGCAGGCCGGTCACGATAGTTCATGCCTGTATTCCCAGCACTTTGGGAGGCTGAGGCAAGTGAATCAAGAGGTCAGGAGTTTGAGACCAGCCTGGCCAACATGGTGAAACCTCATCTCTACTAAAAATACAAAAAAATTATCTGGGCATGGTGGCAGGTGTCTGTAATCCCAGCCCAGGGAGGCTGAGGCAGGAGAATCCCTTGAACTTGGGAGGCGGAGGTTGCAGTGATAGTGAGCCAAGTTCGCACCGCTGCACTCCAACCCGGGTGACAGTGCGACGCTGTCTCAAAAAAAAACAAAAAAACACGCAGATTTATTAAGCTAATAGGTTTTGGTAAAAGGTCATGATCATTTTCAATTCTGCATGAATCAGTGGATTACAAATTGTAGAACAAGCTCAGTATTAAACCCGTTTGTTGTTAATGATGCTAAAGAATCCTTGGAACTCCTAGAAAGCCAACATGTCACTGTGGCCTCTAGAGTTAGACATTCAAAACAAACCAGAAGGAACTTTAGAGATCACCTAACACATTCATTTTATAGAAGACAGAAGGAGGACCACCAGAGCAAGAGCGACTTAGCCAAGTTCACATTTATCTGGGGCAGAGCCAAGATTAAAGGTCAGGCTTCTCAACTCCTAGCTCAGTGGATATTCCTCATGTGAAATGCTAAAGGCTGAAGCCCTGGGTAAAGCCAGATTCACTCATTATGATCAAGGTAAGCCTGAAATAATTCAACAAGAAATGTTGGAAGGCCAATATGCAAACACCATACCAGTAGCTGTAGGAGACATCTGAGGGGACATGAAATAGAAAACGCATTTGAGATAGCCAAGAGTGTGAGCAGTGGGCTACAGCACCAGACCCCAGGAGTTTATAGAATCAAGGGAAACTTTCCCAAGAGGGAAAATACATTGTATTTCCCACAATGGGAAATATACTTTTAAGGCCAGGCGCAGTGGCACATGCCTGTAATCCCAGCACTTTGGGAGGCCGAGCTGGGTGGATCACAAGGTCAAGCGATCGAGACCATCCTGGCCAACAGGGTGAAACCCTGCCTCTACTAAAAATACAAAAATTAGCTGGGTGTGGTGGTGCACGCCTGTAGTCCCAGCTACTCGGGAGGCTGAGGCAGGGTAATTGCTTGAACCCAGGAGGTATAGGTTGCAGTGAGCCAAGATCACGTCACTGCACTCCCACCTGGTGACAGTGAGACTCCATATGTGTATATATGTATATATATATATTTTTTTTTAAGTGGTTTTATAAAAGACACATATACCAACCAGGTGCGGTGGCTCACGCCTGTAATCCCAGCACTTTGGGAGGCTGAGGCAGTGGATCATGAGGTCAGGAGATCGAGACCATCCTGGCCATGGTGAAACCCCACCTCTATTGAAATACAAAAAATTAGCCAGGCATGGTGGCGCGTGCCTATAGTCCCAGCTATTCAGGAGGCTGAGGCAGGGGAATTCCTTATATCTGGGAGATGTAGGTTGCAGTGAGCTGAAATCATGCCACTGCACTCCAACCTGGTGAAAGTGCAAGACTCCGTCTCAAAAAAAAAAAAAGACACATCTACCACAAGAAGTGTTTTTTTTGTTTGTTTTTGAGACAGAGTCTCACTCTGCCGCCCTGGCTGGAGTGCAGTGGCGTGATCTTGGGCACTGCAACCTCTGCCTCCTGGGTTCAAGCTCACAACTGTTATCCCAGCACTTTGGGAGGCTGAGGCCAGAGGATTGCTTAAGCCTAGGCATTTGAAGCTGCAGTGAGTATGACAGCACGACTGCACTCCAGCCGGGGTTACAGAGCAAGACTCTTATCTCAAAAAAAGAAAAAAAAAGAAAAGAAATATTTTTTACATGTTTAACCTTGCAAACAGATGCTAATGAAAAATCTTTTTAAAATCCTCCACCTTGGCAAATATTTTTTAAAATAACAACATCCAATATTAGTGCAGGGCAGGGACACCTATCTCACTCTTGGTTTGGTATCAATCGGCACAATTTCTCCAGAGGCCAATTCAACAATATGTATCAAAGCCTCAAAATCACTCATAATCTTTGGCAAAGTAGTTCCACATCGAAGAATGTCTTCAGTGATTGGCCAGGCATGGTGGCTCACGCCTGTAATCAGCACTTTGGGAGGCCGAGGCCAATGGATTACTTAAGATCAGGAGTTCAGGACCAGTCTGGCCAACATGGTAACACCCCGTCTCTACTAAAAATCCAAAAATTTGTAGATGTGGTGGCATGCACCTGTGCCCAGGTATTTAGGAGGCTGAGGCAGGTGAATCACTTGAACCTGGGAGATGGAGGTTGCAGTGAGCTGAGATCGTGCCACTGCACTCCAGCCTGAGCGACAGAGCAAGACTCCGTCTCAAAAAAAAAAAAAAAGTCTTCAGTGATAATCACTCTGGTCAGAACAAAGGCGCAGGCTGCAATGAGTCAGTGGTGGTTTGGTACGATTTAGCGCAGCCTGGTTAGAGGGTTAGTGACTGTGCCCTCAGGGCCCTTTGAAGGTCCCTCGGGAAAACCCAGGGCCGCTGATGCAAAGTGGGCTGTGCTCTACCACTAAGGAATAATGTTTTGCTGCCATCTGGTGTTCTCCCAGGTAAGTGCACCCACCACAGAGAAAAGCTCTCCGAGTTAGCACAAATAGGCCCTTTCCTCTGTTCTCCCCTACCCGGGATCACCTGGGTCTCGCTCTGTCACCCAGGCAGGAGTTTAGGGTTCACTGCAGTCTCAATATCCTGGGCTCAAGCAATCTTCCCACTTCAGCCCCCACGTAGCTGGAACTACAGGGGTGCACCACCACGCCCTGCTAATTCTTTTATTTTTTGTAGAGATGGGGTCCTGCTATGTTGCCTAGGCTGGTCTCAAACGCTGGAGCTCAAGCCAACCGCCCACCTTGGCTTCCCAAAATGTTGGGATTACAGGCGTGAGATTGCACCATTGCACTCCAGCCTGGGCAACAAGAGCGAAACTCCACCTAAAAAAAAAGATTGCCGGGCGCGGTGGCTCACGCCTGTTAATTGCAGCACTTTGGGAGGCCGAGGCGGGCGGACCACAAGGTCAAGAGATCAAGACCATAATGGCCAACAGGGTGAAACCCTGTCTCTACTAAAAATACAAAAATTAGCTGGGCGTGGTGGCGTGGGCCTGTAGTCCCAGCTACTCGGGAAGCTGAGGCAGGAGAATTGCTTGAACCCGGGAGTCGGAGGTTGCAGTGAGCCGAGATTGGGCCACTGCACTCCAGCCTGGCGCCTGGCGGCAGAGTGAAACTCCGTCTCAACAAACAAACAAACAAACAAAAAACAGGTGTTCTGTTTAAGAAACAAACAAACAAAAAAACCTAATAAAGCATTTACTGGGTTCCACGCATTGTGCTCAGCACTGTACAAGCATTCCCTTTTTTAGTCCTCATAAGGGCCCCATGAAATAGGTAATTTTATCATCCCCGTTTTACAAATGAGGGAACTAAAATACAGAGAGGCTAGCTAACTTGCCCAAAGTCACACAGCTACTGACTGAGTAGTGGATTAGGACAAAATGGCAGTTTGGCACCAGAGTCGGTACTCTTGACCACATCCTTTGTGAGGAGGATCCAGGGTCTATGTGGTGTACTTGGAGAGAACCTCACAGCCCATACAGCAATATCCTCCCCACACCCAGTACATCTGCCCCAAAGAAGCCCATACCAGAACTGGGTTCACCCATGCCCTATAGGCAGTCTAATCGGAATCATGGAGAACCACCAGCTCAGGCTAAATCCAATGGAGTTTTTGGGAAAAATCTTTACTTGCAAAATATTTCATATATACAAAAAGATGTCAGAAATAATGTGGCTGGGTGCAGTGATTCATGTCTTTTTTTTTTTTTTTTTTTTTTTAATAGATAGTCTTGCTCTGTTGCCCAGGCTGGAGTGCAGTGGTATGATCTCGGCTCACTGCAACCTCCACCTCCTTGATTTAAGCAATTCTCTACCTTAGCCTACCAAGTAGCTGGGACTACAGAAGCCCACCACCACACCTGGCTAGTTTCCGTATTTTTAGTAGAGATGGGGTTTCACCATATTGGCCAGGCTGCTCTCAAACTCCTGACCTTGTGATCTGCCTGCCTGGTACTTCCAAAGTACTGAGATTACAAGTGTGAGCCACAGTGCCCAGCTGACTCATGCCTTTAATCCCAGCACTTTGGAAAACCAAAGTGGGAGGATCGCTTGAGCCCAGGAGTTTGAGACCCCCTGGTGAGACCTCATCTCTACAAGAAATTTAAAAATTAGTTAGCTTTGGTAGCATGAATCTGTAGTCCCAGCTACTCAGGAGGCTGAGGTGGGTGGATAGATTGAGGCTGGCAGGTAGAGCCATGATCGTGACACTGTACTCCAGCCTAGGTGACAGAGCAAGACTTTGTCTCAAAAAAAAAAAGTTTTCATAGTAGTGGCGCATCAGTAATGAGTTTGAACCCTGACAGTTCACTGGCTTGTTTTCTACCATTGTTATTAACACATGCGGAAAACCAAGTGGGATATGAATGCACTGAGATTTTTACAGCAATCCTGCCCCTTCCTAGAGTAAACCTGCCCCCACTAACTACAGTTAATTGTGTCCTGCTGGACACATCTGCAGTTTGGGTAGCAAAGCAGTTGGTTCATAGTGGAGCTGGGAAAGAGTCTAGATTATTTGTTATGGTCTAAGAAAGTAGTGGATAAATAATTAGCTGGGCATAGTAGCTCTTGTCTGTAGTCCCAGCTTCTTGGGAAGCTGAGCTGGAACAATTGCTTGAGCCCAGTAGTTTGAGACTTGCAGTGAGCCCTGATCATGCCTTGCACTCCAGCTGGGGTGACAGAGAGAGACCCTGTCTCAAAAAAAAAAAAAAAAAAAACCAAGAAGGTAGTGGCTCCTGCTGGGGATCAGAAAGCAATAACCCAAAATATGGCTCCTTGGCATACTGTGAATTAAAGGAAAATAGGAAGCCTCAGGAGCAGCCTCAAAAGCAAAGACTCTCTCTTACCATATCCTGCCCTCCTGTCTTCCTGCCCCTTTCTCCTCCAAAGGGAGTCACAGAAAACAGAATTTCTTTTCCCCGAGGGAGGTAATAGAAACCAGAATATTTTTCCAAAACAAGCCATACCAGTCTGAGAAACATGGCAAAATCCCATCTCTACAAAAAAAATAAATAAATAACAACAACAAAAGAAAAAATTAGCTGGGCATGGTGGCGTGCACCTGTGGTCCCAGCTACTTGGGAGGCTCCATGGAGAGGGAGGATCGCTTGAGCCTGGGAGGTTGAGGCTGCTGTGAACCATGATTGCACCATCACACTCCAGCCTTGGCAGCAGGGCGAGACCGTCTCAAAAACAAAAACAGTAACAACAAAAAAGCAAGCTATAAAACCTAGAAATATTACTCTAACTTTCCCCCGCCCTTCTGTGCATGAGCTGGCCATAAAGAAATTATCTGACCTACCTTATCTAACAGTAGGTCATAAGACTCTCATTCCAGAGGGGTTCTGCCCCATACCCAGGAGGAAGGAATGCTGCACAGAAAGGCCAGGAAGAATCTGGACAGGCCTTGCTGGGTTTCCCTACTTAGTCCATTACTATCAGATCACACTCTTTTTGTCCAATCACATTTCTATACAGTTGTCCAGTCTTCATATATATATATATATTTTTTGAGACATGATCTCACTCTGTCACCCAAGCTGGAATGCCGTGGTACCTGAGCAGAAAAATAGTTTTCCCTGTGTCTTTGGATTCTTCATATCTGAAGCCTGCTGAGTCACATAAAACTTGGATTGACTACATTTGCTATGCTTTTCTCTTGTTATCCTATCTTTTTTCACAGGGGTGCTGGCCATGACCTTTACAATGGGTGAGGAAAGGTTTTACTTCCTTCTGCCCCTACAGTCCCAGCCAAAGCTGTGAACCCTCAGGACTCGGGGGGGTTATTAAAGGAGGGGGAAGCCCAATGTTCAGCCAGCATTACTTCTAAAGCAGTTATTAACCTGGGGTCCACTGGCTCCTAAGCAAGTCTGTGAATGTCCTGAAGTCATACACAAAGTTTCATGTGAGTGCCTTTTTCCCCCTAGGGAGAGGGCCCATTCCACATCTTTTATCTGATTTTCCAACTGGTCTGACTTTCCACAAAGAATGATCGTTCTTATAAATCAGGAGTTTGCTAACAGCACACAGGCCAAATCTAGCTCAATGCTGGATTTTGTACAACCCACAAGCCAAGGTTTTTATATTTTTAAATGGTTGAAACAATCAAAAGGAAAATAATAATTCATGACACATGAAAATTATATGAAATTCAAATCTCAAACCTGTGTCCAAAAAGTTTTCTTGGAGTGCAATCATGCTTATTGGTTTACAGACCGTCAGCTGCTTTTGTGTTATGAGGGCAGAGTTGAATAGTTACAACAGAGCATATGGCTTGAAAAGCCTAAAATATTGCCTATGTGGCCCTTTTCCAAAAATGCTTACTAACCCTTGCCAAAGATGGACTAGATAACACATCTTGTGACTATATACGTACCTCTATTATTTACTTCTTTTTTTTTTTTTTTTTTGAGGGGGTTTTTCTCTTGGTCACCAGGCTGGAGTGCAATGGCATGATCTTGGCTCACTGCAATCT